CTTCACAGACATTTGGTTAAACTGTAAAATGTTTGCACCTGGCTATAAAGCAAGTCGGGTTTCTGGGCTGAAGAAACCCCAAGGAAGCTAGTTGCTAGGGAGAGGAAGCCAGGCGTTGCTACGTGATGTCATTACCCGGTACCCACAGCGACCATTTCCAGGCTGGGCTAGTCCATGGGCTGCATTTTGCGCCATGGGGTCTTGGCAGCGTTGGCTGCAATTTGGTGGGGTGTCGCTCTGGGGTGGTGGCGGGGCCTGTGTCCCACTTGAGGGAAGCCGAGTGTTGGTTTGTCAGCACCAGGTCTATGGTGCCGTTTATTTTTAGATGTTCAGTGTGTGTCATGGCAGCTCCTGCATTGAGCGTCTGTCCCCTGGTGGTTAGTGCGTGTCATAGCTACTGGTCAGATGGACACTTGGCCTTTTATATAGAGAGATTTTATTCTTCAAGATAAACAATCTTTTTTAAAAATATTTTTTAAAATTTTTTTATTGATTTCAGAGAGGAAGGGAGAGAGAGAAACATCAATGATGAGAATCATTGATTGGCTGCCTCCTGCACGCTCCTCCACTGGGGATGGAGCCCGCAACCCGGGCATGTGCCCTTGACCAAATAGAACCTGGGACCCTTCAGTCAGCAGGCCAACGCTCTATCCACTCAGCCAAACCAGCTAGGGCATAAACAATATTACATTAATTTCAGCTAACCTAGAATTTGTTTTCATGCACAATTTTTGCTAAAGGAGAAAATACAGCCTTAGTACAGTGTGATTTTATTCTTTCCTATGTTTTAAGTTATTAATTAAATTGAAACCTAACCTTTGATTTTGCTTTCAGGGATAACATGCTAATCGTGTGACTATTCAGAAGACTTTAATTTATATTTATAATTTCATTGTACTTTCTCTAATCTTTCTTTTAAAGATATGGACATACTGCAGGAGAAGCTACACACGATGCAGTAGATTCTGCCATCAATGTTGGTGTAACTGCCTATAATATTGACAACATTGGCATCAAAGCGATGGTAAAGAAAACTGCTAAACAAACAGGACATACAATCCTTGAGGACTATAAAATAGTTGATAATTCAATGGGGGGAAATCAAGCAGGGGGAGCAAATGTAAACATGAAGGGGGAGAAGGATGACCAGACAGAGGAACTGGAGAAGAATGAAGCAAAGAAGAAAGATAAATGATGGATATGCTATGAATTACCTATACCAAAGCCTTACAAGATGAATGCAATTGTGTTGATAGGCAAATGTGAAATTCCCCATGGATTAACCAGTAGTTTTTAAATGTATTCATTTCTACAGAGTGAGTGTTTAATAAGTTTTATGGCATGTATTCTACTTATAAAGAAAATAATTGGTATTCTTTCATCTGGCCTTTAGAAATATAGTTATATTCTATTATAGTTTATTTTTTTCTAAATGTGGCTAACATATTTTTGCAGTTACAACAAAACTAATAATGCATGTGCCCTCATTAAACCTAATGTTAAACTGTTTTTGTATTTGCTATCTTTCAGAAAGCAAAGTAGGATATTATTATATATTTACATAAAATTTGGCATTTAGTAACCTTAATTTTATTTGTACTGGGAAGGAATGACTTAAAATATTGTTTTCTCTCTTTGCACTAATTGTGTATTTTTTTAGGTATTTGTCAGTATTTCCAGTATGTAAGCTAAACAAAAACTATATTTCTAAACTAAAATAATTCTCAGATAACATTTAAAAAGACTTTTTCAAAACAGGGAATAGACCAATGAAAAACAAAATAAGGTTTATGAAATTATTTAGTAGCTTACTCTTCATTAGGAAATGAGATGGTCTTTTAGACTTAAAATGAATACAGATAGATTAATAAATCTTCTGGATTTCAACTTGTATTGACCTAGTAAGAACCTGGGAAATTTTGGGGTATGATTAGTATTGCATTAAAATTTGCAGTGATTATTAATCAGCTTAATTGGACAAAAAAATACTTTAAGAAATCATTTTGCCATATCTATTTCTTTTAAGTTTTTCCAAAAGGCTAAACTTTTGTAAAAACAAATATAAACAATATTGAGTTTATGGATGATAAATATATTTTTATTTTGGAATTCAGTCATTGGAATTTTATATATTAAAAAGCCAATAAATTAAATTATTAGAAAGAAAAGGTTTTCATAATTAATGTAATGAATGGGAAGACGTTAGGCTTAATCTGTGGTGAGTGGGCATCACAGTTTCTACTTTGGCAGAAGACAGGATATTCACAGACCTATAAACTACAGATATGTAGGTAAATATCTAATAGCATTTTATTTTTGTTTATTGATTTTGAAAGATTGCTATTGGTTTTTATAGCTATCAGCCATTCTAATATTTTTTGAACCTCTAATGGCTACTTAATTTATTAGACTTTATTTGAAACTGTCTAAATAATGCACTTTTTGAATAAACTGTCCCTAAATTACTTGGTCTTAAATATATTCATTGGTTTGTATTTTGGGAACACATAGAATTGGTGGAGTCTTTCCCTAAGGCTGAGGATTCTGTACTAGTTAAAATGGAAATAAAATTGAATTGGTAAATAGCTTTCAGTCAGTCTCTGCCTTGTTTAAGAAATGGAATGACAAATAGTGGAGCTTAAAGTTTAAAAAGTAACCTTAGACCAGAGGTCAGCAAAATTGGATTTGTCAGCAGGTATCTAGATGATTGTTTAACTTCATTACTGTTAAGTTGATGTGGGTTGTCTTTTCAGAGTAACAGCTAGACAAAATTTGGATAAGCACAGCTTCTATATTAGAGCTCAAAAGAATATATATGTATATAAATATAATGAAAAAGGGGACACATACTAAACCTGACAAGCCCAGGAGAGGCTTACATGGTGAGTATTATAAACTCAGAGACAGAAAGTAACCACAAAGGATGGTCTGAACATAAAAATTCTTAACTAAAAGCAAGTCATGGTGGAGAGTCATGTCCTAGGCAAGTATCTTCCTTGACAAAGGTCAGTCTTCACCTTCACTGAGCCTGTCTATTGTCTTTTTGCATCTAGGATAACATACCTTTGGAATGGCAGAGTAATCCCCTATATTCTAGGTCCCTCAGGGCACAGTTGCCCACCATAACCTGAGACCACAGAACCCCTTATTGTTATCTTCTACCCCGAATACCATCTATGTGCTGTAAATGTGAATTGTTATCTACCCACCAATGTAAAAGAAGTATGTCTCTCTCCATTTTACTTTTCATCCAGTCCCAATTATTTCCTTGCTTTGCTTTCTCCTGCCTCCCTAATCTACCACCAGTGGATTTCATGTAACATCCCTTAATGTCTTCTCCTTGTATTCTGATGCATTAAATAAGCAGTAAAATTGCCATTCTCCAGAGCATTTTCTCAATCCATTGAGATTTTTTTTTCCTGCAATTGTCATCAGTTGGCTCAAATAAACTCAAAATTTATCTATAGGTTTGGATGTTTCTTTGTACACATACACACACTCTCTCTCTCTCTCTCTCTCTCTCTCACACACACATTGATTTACTATAACACCCAGTAATTATGGAGGCTGAGAAATCCGAAAGATATGCAGTCAGTGAGCTGAAGAGCCAGGTGAGCTGATATGTTTGTTCCAGTCCAAGTCTGAAGTCCTGAGAACCAGAAGAGACAATGGTGTCAGTTCCATTTTGAAAGCAGGCTAGAGACCCAAGAAGAACCCCTTGCAGACTGAGTCCCAAGGCTGAAAACTAACATTATAGCTAAAGCAGTAAAGCAGAAGTTCCCTCTTATTCAGACTTTTTGTTCTACTCAGATCCTTGATTGAGGGCCACCCATCTTAGGGAGAGCAATCTGCTTTACATAGTCTACTGATCAAAATTGAATGTTAATTTCCTTCAGACACACCCAGAGTAATATTTGGCCAAATGTCTGGGCACCTTGTGGCCCAGTCAAGCTGATCAAATTAACCATCACAGCTTCTTAGCCCAGCTTTCATTGTCCAGAGGCCTTTCACCTAGCTCTGCTTGGCTTTGAGACTCAACAGATAACACAGTGTATGAAAAATAACAGTTTTCAATATTTACTGCTACCAGCTTTTTAGTCACTTTGCTTCTACAGACCTCCCCCAGGCTGTACTGGGTAGTTTTCTGGGAATGCCTCCAGGTAGTGACTAGCTATAGAAATAATATGCTTATGTAGTACCACTGATACTGAATGCTGAACTGAAGTTCTTCCTGGATTGTGTCTCACGAAGTTGAAGAAAATCTCGGACCAGAAGATTTAAGCAAAAGTATGGAAATTTATTACAAGCAGATATAAACTCCCACATGAGGAGGGGACCCGAGAATGGGTTGCCGCCGAAGTTTATTTGTCTAGGGGTTTTTATTTGCTATGGACCGACACTTTGTCTATGTCACTGATTGGTTTCTTCTATCATCTTTGTTCAGTAACAATTTTAAAATCCATCTCATGCTCCCCCTCTTTTTTTCCTCTTCCTCCCCATTTCTTGTAACCTCCTGCCCATGCAAGATAAGCATTCTTACGGCATTCTGTTTTTCTGCGAAACCAGTATTGTGGTTTTAGCTGGCTCCAACAGTTACATCCATATTTCCTCCTTCCTTTCACCCCTTACCCTGTCTGTCTAACCCTGTTTCTAATTCCTCTCACCACTATGAACCAGTAATGTTCTAAGTGCTTTTATATCAATTATTTTTTTATTATTTATTTTATTTTTTTATTGATTAAGTTATTACATATGTGTCCTTATCCCTACGTTACCCCCTGTACCCCCCACTCATGCCCTCACACCCCTGTTGACCGTGTCCATTGGTTAGGCCTATATGCTTGCATGTAAGTCCTTTGGTTATCTCTCCCCTTCACCACCACCCTCCCCTACCTTCCCTCCGAGGCCCAACGGTCCGATGGATGCCTCTCCGTCTCTGGATCTGTCCTTGTTCA